TATTAGTTCTAATGGGGTGTAAGTCTTACACGAAGGCCATTGGCTGGAATCGGTGATGCATTATGGACTATCTTCTCGTCCGGCACCAGTATCTCCAATTTGAAGTTGATGACAACGTTGTGCATGCATGGACACATTCTCGACTCGCTGCCGAATGGCACAAAGGTATACACATTCCATAACGTCTGTCGTTCTGTGAAATATTTGGGATTCTTGGGTGTTGAATACATATTCTATAACGTCTGTACAAATGTCATTCATAAAAAGTTATAAGTTTAGACTTATTGTTGAAGTCAAGTGGTAGTGAATTACTTAAAGGTAATATGGTATAATGGCACATTAACCCATAGTTAAAAAAAATAAAAAAAAAAATAGCCAGGAAATTTGTTAATATGTTCGACGGTGAAAACTTTGGATCCTTGGATATACCTAAAAAAATTCTGATTTTTTTTCACGAAAACTTATTTGAAACAAATATATATATTTTTTTAATATCAAAAGTGGCATATCTGACCATTGCATGTTAGGGATCTAATAAAAAATAAATAAAATTCCATTGCTATTATTTTTTACCATCAATCAAAAGTAACACCAATCACCAGTAAAGATAAAAGGCAAAAATATTTGGACAAATATTCAAAAGTGTGTCTATAACACCAATCACCAGTAATGTACTAACCAATTAAGACAACTAGCGATTGCAAACAATTTTGTGGTCGAAAAAAAAAAAAAAAAAAAAAAAAAAAAAAAGAGGAAAAGATTAGCGCCATGGTCGGTTGCAAAATCCGCTATGCACTGGTGATTTGCAAGGTTGCAAAATCCGCTAAGAGCTAGTCGGGTGCCAGAGGCCCACCTAGGCAGAAGTCTAAAGAAAAAAGGATTGTGTGTATATATATATATATATATATATATATATATATATATATATATATATATATTCTTCCAAAGACTGAACCCCAACCCTAAGGGCCCCCACACCCCGCCCCGATAAACAAGAATGTTAAAGTTAAAAAGTGGGTGGGGGATGCAACACCACCCATCCCATATATATAGGCAAATTATATTATGCACCGCGGTGCATAATCGATTATGCACCGCGCGTCTTTTTTTAAAATGAAAATTAACAGTGTTTATTTCCGCCGTTTCGCACCCTTTTGCAAAAAGTAACTCTGTTATTCAGTGTCATTTTGTATGAACTGCAGTTTCAGTTGAACACAACTACAGTTTCATTTCGATATAACTATAGTTTCATTCGATATTTATAGACTCAAATATGTGAAAATGTTATTTAATTTTATTTTATATACACTATAGTTTCATTAAAACACAACTACATGATCATTTTGATATAATTACAGCTTCATTGTATAATATACACTCAAATATGTGAAATGTTATTCAGTTTCAGTTTATATACACTGCAGTTTCATTTCACTATAACTACAGTATCATTTTGATATAACTGCAGTGTCGGTTTGGATATACTGTAGTGTCAATTGGTGTTTAATACACCAAACAAACGGACTCCGTTAACTCTAACGGCGGGCCGTTTCTTTACACTTAAAGAAACGGCGTCGTTTTTGACGTGCACCGCGGTCTATAATATAACGACTGATATATATAGGGGTTGGAATCTTTCTATTCCATACATATTTGTTCCTGAGCTTTTTGGCATACCAATCCCATCTGCCAACACACTAGCCATCCTCGGCGAGAAGAATGGTCTATTCTCCGCTCATCCATCGGAGAGAGGAACAGCCCTAGCTGAGAACCTTACAAGCACGTCCTCTGTCACCCCCCCCCCCCCCCCCACCGCGCTTTATCCGGCTAACTTGAATCTGTTGCTTGTTTTTTGTCTAAGGGGAAATGAAAAATCCACTAGTTTTCGGTGTGAAGTTAATAACCACTTCCTCATTCATTTATCTTGAATGGAGATCACACTGACTTGTCATTACTTGTGAGCTTCAGGTCCCATCCATCCAGAACTCGAACTGCCAACTACAGAAATCAAATTGCATATGTAGAAGGGAAGGTACGGAAAATGTGAGCTCTAGCGTTAGAGCGAGCGAGCGAAGCTCTCAATTTCACAAGAAAACGGATGCGCGTTAGCTAAACGAATATATATATATATATATATATATATATCAGTTTAACTTCCTGCTAATCACAACTCCAATTATTATTTAAGTTTTCATGGTAGTACATCTGAAAGATTAATTTTCATTACTATCTAAGTTTCCAACATTGTACTCATTTAGTACTTAGAACTCAGCAATACAAACTACTTCTTTACAAATACGGTTCGGGTAACATTATTATTGTCAAATACAAATAACACAAATAATAAACACTTAATACAACTTACCAACACAAATTTATTTCAATTAAGCACTAACATCATTGACTCTTAACGTCATTGCAGTGCAACAAAAAGTTAGTTCTGATGGGGTGTAAGTCTGACAGGAAGGCCATTGACTGGAATTGGCGATGCACTATTATAGACTATCTTCTCATTCGGCACTAGTTTCTCCATTTTGAAGTTGGTGACAACGTTGTGCATGAACACAAGTACTTCTAGCCGGGCGTACTCTTTTCCGGGACACATTCTCGGCCCACCGCCAAATGGCACAAAGGTGAAGGGTGCCGGCCCATTTCCCTCGTACCTCGATGGATCAAATTTATCTGGTTCTGAGAAATATTTGGGATTCTTGTGTGTTGAATACACATTCCAAAATGTCTATACAAATGTCATTCACAAAAAGTTATAAGTTGAAGTGGTAGTAAATTAAGTAATGGAAATATGGCATAATGGCACATTAATCCATGCATGGTTTAAAAATTTCAGATTTTTTATCATGAAAACTTATAAGAAACAATGTTTTTTTAAAAAAAATAAATATCAAAAGTGGCATATCTGACCATGTTAGGGATCTGATGAAAAAAAAAAATTAATAATTCCATTATATTGCTATTATTTTTTACCATCGATCAAAAGTGTGTCGTAGACACCAATCACCAGTAAATATAAGAGGCCAAAAAAATTGGAAGAATGTAATAACCAACACAAGTAGCGATTGCAAACAATTTTTGACAACTGTGTGGTCGAAAACTCAAAAAAAAAAAAAAAAAAAAAAAAAAAAAAAAGATTAGCGCCATGGTCAACCATGGCTATGCACTGCTGATTTGCAAGGTTGCAAAATACGCTAAGCGCTAGTCGGGCACCAGAGGCCCGCCTAGCGCCTAGGCCACCTAGGCAGAAGTCTACAAAAAGGATTTTATATATATATATATATATATATATATATATATATATATATATATATTATTACACATGGCTCTAGGAATTGCAAAATAAAATAAAAAATAACAAAATAATAATTCTGTTGAGTCGGTCAAGTTAACTCGGCCGAATTAACATCAAAATGAAAAAGCACCACGGTTGGGCAATGCCTAGGCACAATGTTTACAACACTGCTAATTTTTAAGTGTGCATGTCGTCATTTATGTGAAGTCGTTGTCTGTTTCTCTTGTCTTTAGGTTCATATGTGCACACGTGCTATGGTGCATGCGTGCACTTACATATTGTGCGGTGTTTTATAGGTGTGCACTCGTGCTGGTTTGATTTGCGCTCAAATTATGAACTCATTCATTAATGCACAAAAATTTATACATACATGCACAGATTTGTTAGACATGACCCATATTTGTCTTTGTTATCTAGAAAAAAAGGGGTTAATTGTGTGCTTACATGAAAAGAAATAAATTAAAGAACATAAAAAAAAATAAAAAAAAAATAAAAAAGGATATACAGTAATGAAATTATTTTAGAATTTACCTTGGATAGATTTGTCTCTTAATTGATATTATGGGGGACTTTGAATTGTTTATTAGACGCATAAATTTAGGGTATTGCTTTTAAATCAATCATTGATCTCTTGATTTCTATGGCTTAGATTTGTTCTTATGTGGGAAGGGTTCTCATAGGGGAGCAACACCATATATATATATATATATATATATATATATATATATATATATATATACCTTTTTAGGCCTAGCACCCAGAGCAATAAAACTATTATTTTTCTTCCCCCGTTCTATGCTTCCATACCCGATTTATGGTGAACATGGTCCTATCAAAACATACATTGGCTCCGTTTGTGATGAATGCTACGAAAAGGCAGTTTATCGGCCCGCAAGTAGAAAAGGTGGTGAAAATCCTAGTTGGACCTGCATGGAGGGAAGGTAGCCCAACGGGTCCGCATGTAAGGAAGGTGGTAAAAAATCCTAGTTGGGCCCACACAGAGGGAAGGCTGACCAATGGGTCCACACGAAGTAAAAGCGATGAAAATTTCCTAGTTAGGCCTGGATGGAGGGAAGGCAACTCGACAAGTTAACATGTAAGAAAGGCGGTTAAAAATCCTAGTTGGGTCCGCATGGAGAAAAAGCTACCTAACGGGTCCGCATAGAAGGAAGGCGCTGAAAAAAATCCTAATTGGATATAGACGGAGGAAAGGCAGCCCAACGGGTTTGAATTAGGGAAGGCGTTAGAAAAATCTTAGTTGGTCCCGCATTGAGGGATGGTGGCCCAACGGTCTTGCAAGTAGGGAAGACATCAAAAATCTCTTCTTCTTCTTTTTTTTTTCTTTCAAGGTACGTGCGGGAGCTAAGTCCTCTTGATGGGAACTCAGGGCCCATTTTATTTGGAAAATCTTGGCCCAGAGGGGGAGAGGGGGGTGGGGGGCGGGGGGGATAAGGAATAAAATGCTAAATCGAAGATTAGGTGTAACTAGCAAGATTTGAACCTAAACTCTAGGGATAACAACACAAACACCAATCATCCAAGTCACTGAAGATATCATGTATTAAATGGTAGAATGCTCTATTTACCCGTGTGAAGACCACTGGCATCCAAGTAGTAGGGAGACACATGTATGACAATTATAGTATTTTAATTTATATTAATTATAATTTTTTATGTATATATATGTTTATAATTAATATTTAATATAGGGCATTTCGTTCTATTCCTACTAATGATGGACGAGCGACTAAAAATATCAACTAGAAAACATGCAAAGTATGAAAATTAATTAATTAAAGTTTTAATGTGATAGTTTGAATTTTTATTGTTTAAAATACTAAAATATATATATGTATTTTGTAGTGTCCACAACAAGTGGGAGGTTATGAGTGTGGATATTATGTGATGCGATACATGTTTGATATTGTGACAAAATATTCTACTGTTGATAAATTAGATGAGGTAAGTGAATTTAAGTAGAAGTATTTATAGTTAAATTATATTTTATTAATTAATATATTTAATAATTTGATTACTTAAATTATTTTGTAGGTATTTGAAAGCAATCCGTATTCTACCAATGAAATTGATGAGATTCGAGACTATTGGGCAAAGTACTTCTTGAAAAAGTGCATGTAATTAACTTATTTTTTTGCTAGTTGGTTAATTAAAAGTTTTTAGGTAATGCATGTGTTAACTATTAGGATGGATTGTGAGAGTATTGTATGTGTTGAAAGTATTTGGATGGATTAAGATAGTGTTGAAAGTATATTATTGATAATATTGTGTTAGGTTGATCGATGGGAATATTCTTTTTATAATATTGTGTTGATATATATTTAATTTCTGAATATAATTTTGTACAAGATTTTTAAAAAAAAATGGGAATTTTAAAAATAATAAATTATTTTTAAAATATAAAAAAAAAACAAATCTGCTACCCTTTCTAGGAAGAAAGAGTAGCGAATGAAGTAGTAAAATGAAGAGAAATCCGCTACCCTTCTGTCGGAAGAAGGGCAGCGGATATTCTAGTAATCCGCTACGACTCTACAAGGGACGCGAAAACATATAGGGTTTCCGCATCCCTCGTATACGCTACCCTTGTACAAGGGTAGCGGATAGCCCTGTACAAGGGTAGCGGATTTGCAAATCTGTACTAGTGACATTTGTCGAGCATCTGGGTGACGAAGCCTCTACCCTATAAATAGACACCCATATTTCCTCTTCAGAGATCACACCTAAGATCTTTATAATACCCATAGCTTAGTGGCTTATGGTCCTAACCTTTAATTCATACACCACTGTTTGATTCCTAACAGTAGCATATTGTTATTTCTAGACTGCTATTTGGGCTATAACTTGTATTATTAATATTTGGATCGTTGTTTTGGGCAGCATAGTGCCCCGAGTAATTGTTTTTCCTTGTATTATTAATATCTGGACCACTGTTTTGGGCTTTATACATACCTTTTTGGGCATAGCGCCCCGAGTAATTATTTTTCCCCGTTTTGAACTTCCATTCCCGTTTATGATAGACCAACTCCAGACAAAACCATATATATATATATATATATATATATATATATATATATATATATATATATATGGCAACTATAATCTATGATGTTGATGACTAACCTTCCATCCTTTTGGGATAGTAAATCCAGCGTAGGTAAAATCAGTGACAGTCTCTCTAAAGCCACCTTGTCCTGGTGGGAATAGCCTTAGTGCTTCACATGCCACATTCCATGAATATTTCATCTTTTGAATGTCTTCCCAACTTAATCTCTCATTTGGTCCCTTCGACTTGGCAATTTCAATTTGTTCTGCAGAACAAATATTAACAAAAATAGAACTCATAATCTTCAGATGAAAAAATTATATTTGGATCACCCACTTAACTATAATTTCTAAGAATTATAGATGACTATGTGAACGCCAAGTAAGTAGGTAATCTGCTACAATTATCTCAAAACAGGAAAACATAACATCATGAATCAAAATATAAATACAATTAAAATGTAATATTTGCTAGGAATATAATAGAGTTAATTTCACCGGAGGTCCCTTGTCTTTGGTGACAATTTCAAATTGTCCCAGACTATCGTATTTGCCATTTTACATTCCAGACTATCGTTTTTTGGACACTTTTAGTCTTTCTCATGCTTTTTTTTCTATTTTTAGTAAGGGCATTTTTGTCTCTTCATATTTTTCTTTTGTTATTTTCCCAGTTTCAACCAGTTTAATTGGTTTAGGACTTTACTAAGAATTGGTTGAAAAATATGATTACTAAAAATTAGAGGTTACCTAAAGTTCTAAACTAATTAAACTAGTTGAAGCCGGAAAAATAACAAAAGAAAAATATGAAGAAACAAAAATGCTCTTACTAAAAAAAAAAATCATGAGAATGACTAAAAGTGTCTAAAAAATGATAGTCTGAGATGTAAAATGACAAAAATGATAGTCTGGGACTAAATTTGGAATTGCCACCAAAGACAATGGACCTCCGGTGGAATTAACTCAATATAATACATAAAAAAAAAAAAAAAAAAAAAAAAAAAAAGTATTACATTTTAATTTTTTTTAAAAAAAATCACAAAAGATGTTATTTATTTACCTTTGTAGACTTGTTGATAAATATGGGGAAGTTCAGCAAGAAACTTCAATACAAAGGTTATGGCGGCACTGGTAGAATGGTAGGTGGGGAGGAGAATTCCGATAATATAATGGTAAATCTCGAACTCGTTCAAGTGTTGTCCCTCCTCATCGGTGACGCTAAGGAGGCGACCCAACACGTCTCGCCCCTCATCCTCCACCTTACCTAAACTATTCATCATCGCCTTTGCCTTCCTCTCCTTAATCACCTCCACGAGCTGACGGCGCACCATGCTACCGCCTTTCATGGCGCGATTGTAGGCCGTGCCGGGGAAGTTGAGTGGCAGGCTGAACATGCCTGTGCTAACGAGGATTATTGGGTCTAACAACCTTTTAACCTCGTCGCGGTCCTCAATGCTCAAGAACAGCTTGCACGCCAGCGCGAAGGTGTAATATTTGGAGAGAGCATAAACCTTGACTTCTCTGAATGGGGCCCACTCCTCGGCGATATGTTCCTTGTGTAAGCACATAAATCATTTCAGTTAGCATGAGTGACGGTAGATTTTCAAAGAGGTCATTTAATTAGGTTGATCTGGTGCGTATAGAAATTAGTTTGATACAAATTTTAAGGTGCTTTCTATAGTTATGACCTACTCAAAATAGTTTGTGGTCTAATTTTTTATTTATTTTTAGATAAAGATAACTCTAATAATCTCGAAATAATTAGGAACCCTTATACCAATTATAATCTAAGCATTTAATAAGAGCTAATAAAGTTAAGCCTGAACAGGAGCAAAAAAAATGTTAATGTAATTGTTGGCTGAAATGAATGGTTCATATTATTTTGATTTTAGTATTTTTTTATTATTTTCCTCTTCTTTTTTTTTTGAAAACATTTATTATTTTTTCTATTTTGCCCTCTATTATATCATTTACTTTTTCTAAATACTCATGTATTACATCAGTGTAAACTTTAGTAACGGAATATTCCGTAAACTATTTATTATTCTTAACTTACCCATTGATTTTTATAAGGAAGGTCGTCGTCTTCGGTTCGAACCCCATCCAAATCAAAATTGACATAGTTGTTAAACATATATTATGAATATGTTAGAGTGTATTAAAAAACTACAATATAAAATTTAACATAAACTTTGGTCAATTAATTAGAATCACACATTGGACATTGATGAAACGTACACCTAATTTACCGTATATATTCAATACAAATGAGACACTATGCCCATTATCAATTGTCTTTTTGGAAAATAAGGATTTAGTTCTGTTTTTGAAGATGCACTGCGCCAAGGTGCTAAAATTGCAATGAACACATTAGGAGACTACATCAAATTAAGAATTCATTTCTGACGGAAGTGGCAACAAGAGGAATATAATGATGGATCACGCCAATTAATAGAGTTTTGTGTTGCAAAAACTATGCTTAGGGTACTATCCGATGAGAGTGTTTTCCCTAAAAATTGCTATTGAACCACTTAATCCAATTTTCTAGCACGGGTCATAGTTATGCATTCTTGAAACATTTGCATTTATGAAAAGTTTAATAATCTTGCAGTGATATACCCTAGGATACCGATTACCGAATGATACTTTGATAAATTCTGAAATACTAATTTAAAAATGAGTAAATACCCAAAATGGTCCCTCGACTATAGCTAAATTCACAAATTGGTCATCGACTTTCAATTTCGACCAATTAAGTCCTTAACTTTGTAATTTTAACACAATTTGGTCCTCTGTCTATTTGACCGTTTGTTGACTGTGATTTTTGAGGATATATATGTACTTTCATGATCCATAGTCGGTTTTTTAAGGTTCCGGTTGCATTTCCAGACCGCACTGTTACATTCGAATCTACTGCCGAAAGCAATCTACCAAATCCGGTCGCCTTTCTTCATCATCCCTTTGGATTCAATGTAGTTGAGTTCGTACCAGAGCGAAGAAAACGACGTGTTTCCGAACCGGTGCAACGTCATCCTAGAGGCCTCCACGTGCTCTGACGAGAGCTAAAGGTTCTTCTGGAGATCGTCGATCACGGTCAACAAACGGTCAAATAGATGGAGGACCAAATGGTGTCAAAATTACAAAATTAAAGACTTAATTGGTTGAAATTGAAAGTCAATGACCAATTTGTGAATTTAACTATAGTCGAGGGACCATTTTGAGTATTTACTCTTTAAAAATATACATTGAGCATCAAACTATGAGCCTATGTGGTAACGAGTAATCCTAATAATAACCAACATATATTATATTAATACTAATTGTACATTAAAATGTTATACCTTGGCCATGGAATCCATGGTGGGGATGTAGTGTTTGAGATTCTCCAGTTTGAAAATCTCGTGGATGTTGGTCCGGTTGAGAATTGTGATCTTCCGGAGGGTGTTTTGGGCGTCGGTGGGGAACATCAGCGGCTTCGTCACCGACTGCGGCCACCACGTGGTCAGGAGGGTGTTCTCGTTGGTGAAAAAGAACTTGTTCCCGGCGGCGCCGCAGAACACCGCCACTTTCTCCCCAAGTATCGAGGTCTTGAAAACCTCCGGCGAATACTTCTTCATCCTGTCGGATATGTATTTCTCCGGCACCATCAGGTCAATGTTTTCTCCGATCACCGGCCAGCCGGTGGAGCCTGGCGGGAGGTTTGGTTTTGAGGTATTGGCCTTAGTGATGAAGTAAATGATGGAAAGGGACACGTAAAGGACTGAAAAGAAAAGTGAGTAAAGGAGAAAATCATCCATGTTTTCACTTAATTGTCTTCTTCAATCAATCACAATCAGAATCAGTGTGCTTTTCTCTACGAGGCTATTTATAAGTCCTCGAAAACCATAATAATAGGGAAAGGGTGAAATGAGTTTCCCGAGTCCCAAATTCTACACCATCAAGTACATTTCTTTTAGAGTAAATACTTAAAATGGTCCCTCGAATATTGCTAAATTCATAAATTGGTTCCGACTTTCAATTTCAG